AAAAAAAAAAAAGGTACTAACTTTCCATTCCTGCATTAATCCCTGACTAGGGTGGCATTCGTTTATTGCGATCCAAAAGGTTTAACCCGTTGGACCAAAGTTGTTCGTTTATTAAATAAGGTCTGACCTAGTAATCTGATGCCTTGCAAGGCCTGCATAAACGTTTGCAGGTCCGCCAGGAGCTATACCCAAAAATGGTGCTGACTTTAGTTTGCATTTACCTAGCTTCAAATGTATGTTTAACAGACATTCTCTAGTATCTAACTTCCCTAAAAAATGAGTAAAGATAGATACAGAAAAAGAAGTGCATTAGTAAGTATAAGTTGATGTTTGTTCCTGGTTGTAGGAAGATTTGGTGGATTATTCTGTGACTGATGAACACCTATGGACACTCTGGACAAACCAGACCGGGGAAAGCGTGGCCAGGGTCCGAAGCATGACAGAGTAGGTACCTGGTGCAGCATCATTACACGTATTTGTAGATTGATTGCACTGATGAGCAGTCACTGATTATATGCTGTTTCTATGAACATGTTGTCGTTGTAGACCATTTTTTTCTGTAGACTAGTGGTTTCTAAAACCTTATATTCAAACATAAAATTTGGAAAAATATTGTTTGTTAAATATCCAAAATTGTTAGATTGCTTATTGTAGCTGAAATGTGATAATCAGACTATACTAATATTGACATATCAATCAAAATAATGCTTATATGATAAGGCATTATGCTGCTTCAGCAAGACGACTTGAAAAATCTGAAGTATTCTGTTATTTCTGTTTTACATGGGTTATATCTGTGTGTGTGTCTTCAGAGGCCATTTAAGGGGAGATAATTGGAGTGAGGTGATCTTGCATCCTCCAGAGAATAGTGACATCATTGTCCCTCGCCATGCTGACCCTCGAGAGGTCTACTTGGCCCGTATCTTCCATCCCCGACGCTTTAATGTTCAGGATATTAGGAAGGCACTCAATGTAAGTCTTACTTTATCTGTCTTGAATTTTGCTTTCAGTTGCTTTTTTTGACTTAACAGATCGCATCATGAAGAAATGTATGGATTGCCATAAAAATTGTTAGAATTGTTCAAAAGACATATTAAAGGTGCAAGAAATTTAACTGATACATTAATGCCTAAGCCAGCAAGTTCAAATCAAAGTACACCCATGATATTTTTTACTAAAAAGGTCAAAGTTCAAAGAAAATTGTATCGAGCAGAATTGATTTTCTGTTGTTTCAGGTGTACCGTCGTTCTCTGGACATGACTGTTACTGGGGAGATGACGCTACAAGTGAATACGCTCAAGGAGGAGGTAACTCTAGCAGTAGAGGATGCTGTAAGTAGATTTACTCAAGTCACCAACTAAACTCACAAAAAATATTTAGCTCATATCATGAATTCATTTTTAAAGATTCTTCAATAAAGACCTATAAATATTTTGGCAAACTATATGACTAACAGACTGCATGGCTTTCATTAAAAAGGGAAGAAAACATATTTGATACATGTTAAATTGGGTTTCTTTCAAGTATTTTTTTCTCTATTCACATAGATCCGAAATTCTGCAGCGTCCAACGAGCTTGCGGAGGAGGAGTACTACCAGATCCAACTTGACCAGTGGACAAAGTTCCACTCCTGCTGTGTCCAGTATCAAGAGGTCAGGGACTTCATAGTAAAGAGAACAACTCTATAAAAAATTATAATTATCTTCAATACATTTCAAAATAGAGATAACACTGTCCCCTCCCTCATGATACCCCCTATTGTTGGTATATCTAAATAATCACAAGATTCATGTTATTATTGTATAGGATACCACTATATACAGGGTTCGAATTTAAGCTCGCATACTCGCGAAAAGCGA